CCAGCGCCCAGCAGAGGGCCACCTCCCACTTTACCTTCGAGAGTGCAGTATCCCGGCCCTCCTCCGCCTCCAAGACCAGCTGTAGAACCACCGGCTCCGCCGGCGCGAGGTTTGTACACTTTTACAGTGCGTTGATCTTGGGCAGTTACTAACCGCCAAATGTATAGACATGCCACCACCCCCACCCCTGCCGCCAGCTCCAGCCCCTCCGGTGCCCGGACTCCCAAGTGCCCCACCTCCGCCTCCATCCCCTTCAGTGCCCGGCTTTAACGGAGCTCCGCCACCACCTCCCCCGCCAATGCCTGGCTTTGGTACATCTGCTCCACCTCCACCTCCACCCCTTCCAGGCTTTGGCGGGAGTGCGCCCCCAGCTCCACCACCTCCACCACCCCCAGGGTTTGGGGGAGGTGCGCCCCCACCACCGCCCCCACCGCTTCCTGGAAGGACTGATAGTGCGCCGGGCGGGGCTGCTCCTCCGTTACCGGCGGTGGAGGGTGGTAGAGGAGATCTGTTAGCTAGCATTCGTGGTGCGGGAGGAATAAATGCTCTCAAGAAAACACCCAAAGGTCCTGCTGCTGGTGGCGCACTACCGCCGGCCTCCGCGGCTAAACCAAAGGCTGTTAATCCAATGGAGGCATTACAAGCAGAACTAAACAAGAGGAAGGGGAGAGTATCAAATCAAAGTGGTAAGCTTTCCCTGAGTCTTATGATCGAATAATTTGGGCTAACCTCGTAAACAGATGATGAAGACGATGGGGATTGGTAGATAGTATAGGGAATGTTGGTCGTTGCTTGATGTCAAAAGTGGCCATGGACGAGTTTTGTATAGGGGACGTCTTTCGTTATTTTATTCTTTCTCTTTGCCCGTTTTCCTTTTCCCCCCCTTTTGTGCAGTGTAGGATTGCAAAAATGTAAATTTATCACCTGCCCCCCCGCCTTTCTTGTTTCCTCTTCTTTTCTTGCTACGGAGTAATTCATAAATTCAGTGGTTTTTTACGGTTGGATATGAGTCATCTGCTGTGATGAGGCTCTGATCAAGAAAAGTGAATTTCAAGACCATAGGAAGCCCGTGAAACGGAGGCATCGAAAAAGGGGGCTTTAGGGGCCCAACAATCTTGGGTGCAGCTGACTTGTGGCATGTCACTTGTTCCTCAGTCAGGCATCTCAATCGTCGATTTTTGTTGGTGTGAGATACAGTAACGGTCTTGGCGCATATTGGTTGCATAGTCAGCCTAGGTGGGAAAAAGAAAAGAAAAAAAAAAAGATTCCCGAGAAACAATAAAAGCCTTTCGTCTTCACGCCACCTTTCCTCGGACCTTTCTCCTGATTCCTCCTCCAATTGCTATTTACAGCAAACGGGGATTTCACGATTTCTTTCTCGGCAACTCCTGTCTCGAGTTTGACTAGTTCTCGCTAGTCTCTGCTTGAATTCTACACTTGGAATCTGGTTCGATACTCGAGTACATCGGAAAGCTCTGCAAACCCCCTTCCTTCCCTCCACCAAACACAAACATCATGGTTCGTAATATTGTCGTCCTTGGGGGCTCTTCCCACCCCGACCTTGTCAACACTGTCTGTCACCTCCTCGGTATACCTAACGGCCGCATTACACTCTCCAAGTTCGCAGTTGGTGAAACCCGTGTCGAGATCCAAGATTCTGTTCGTGGGAAAGATGTCTTTGTCATTCAATCCGGCTGCGGAAGGGTGAACGATCACCTGGTCGAGCTGCTCATCACCATATCGGCGTGCAAGACGGCATCTGCGAAACGTGTCACTGCTGTGCTTCCTCACTTCCCGTACAGTAGGCAGTCGGATATTCCCTACAATAAGACTGGAGCCCCATTGAGCAAGTCGCCCACCTTCAACGGCGGGAAGAACGATTTTACGTTTGAGAGCAGGCCGGGCACGCCCGGCCCCATGGACTCCCCCGGATTGGGCGTCTCACACGGCGGGTTGGAGAAGGAGCTTAGCAGGATCGCGTTGGATAGGGGTGCGGATGGTGGTGTTAATGGCGTGGATAGGGGAAAGTCGCACCCACCCACGCCCCTTCGAAGGACCAATACTGCGGAGTCTATCGGTAGCGACACTGCCAAGGGGCGCTACAATCACCATCACCAGCACCATCAGAATCACCATGGCCACAGCTCCTCTAGTGTATCTTCGTCGGTGAATGCCAATGAATGGGTCCCGCCAAAGGGAACCGGTTATAAGCAATGGGTTGCCCAAGCTGGGACCTTGGTAGCCGACCTCCTGACCTGTGCTGGAGCCGACCATATCATAACGATGGACCTCCATGACCCGCAGTACCAGGGCTTCTTCGACATTCCTGTTGACAATCTCTACGGAAGACCGCTGCTGCAGAGGTATATCAAGTACAATATCCCCGACTATCAAAACGCAGTTATCGTGTCTCCCGATGCTGGCGGTGCAAAGCGTGCCACGGCCATCGCGGACGCTCTAGGAATGGAATTTGCATTGATCCACAAGGTTGAAAACAACCCTTTCCCTTTTGTTACAGGATCCCTATTACCCCCCATACCCTTGGTGCGTGAGCAAGATCTAAATGTCCCGCAGGAGCGCCGTCCCACACGCATCACAGACCGCCAGAACGCTACAATGATGCTTGTCGGTGATATCGTTGGCAAAGTAGCTATCCTCGTGGACGATATGGCGGACACTAGCAATACCATTACCAGAGCGGCCAAGTTGCTGAAGGGCAAAGGTGGTGCGACCAGAGTGTATGCTCTGGTCACTCACGGTGTCTTCTCTGGAGATGCTATCGATAGGATCAATGCTTCGGCTCTTGATAAAGTTATCACTACGAATAGCGTACCTCAAGACCAGCACAAGAGGTTGTGTGACAAGTTGGTAGTCTTGGACGTTGGTGAGGTTTTTGCAGAGGTTTGCTTTTGCCTTCTACTAACCTATTCGCGTTTCGTGCTCGTAGCGTTAGATGCTAATAGAATGATAGGCAATTAGACGAGTCCACCACGGAGAAAGCATCAGCGTTCTTTTCAGGAACGATTGATTGATCTCTTGGACTACTGCCCCTTTTTTACTTCATTTATTTTCACTGGTTCTGTTTGGGTTGGCGTTTTTGCGGGATAGTTCATGGGTGGCTGGTAGAAATTGAGGGGGTGCCCGCGCGATAAGGGGCAGGGAGGAAGCCTGGCATGAATGGGGATGAGGCTGTGGTTTAGCTCCCGCACATTTGCTGTTTCTGTAAGAACTCGGAATGGCTATTATGATTGCTCGGGGCTTTAATCGGTGTCTTTGTGGTTATGGCATGTATGGTCGCTTTAACACCTACTCGTACATAACTATCACTTGTAGACCTCGAATAAATTCCCATTTTTGACTTGAGAACCCACACCTCGTCGGGCACAACAAAAGGCATCGACCAAAAAAAAATTCCATAGTGGGGCTCTTATCGATAAGGATAAACCCTATCGCCAAGCCTACATCCTGAACCCCGGACCACCAAACCCAAAGCCTACCACGCTCTCTAAAAAGGAGAACGGCTCGATCGCACATCTACTTGAGTACTGGTATCCATCTATCCATCTCCCCACCACCATCACCACTGCTGCCGGAAAAACCAATCATGTCATCCAAAAAGAACGCCAAAAAGCACACCCTCTCAACAGTATCCTCACCGCCACCATCACTATCATCACCACCAGGGCCCATCACATCAAACCCCCTCACCAACGATCCGCAATCCTGGACATCTCTAAACCCCCCACTATCTCCATGGCTCCGCATAGCCTTGCAAACCCTCTCTTTCGAGCGCATGACGCCTGTGCAAGCAAGCACGATTCCCCTCTTCCTAGGAAACAAAGACGTAGTGGTCGAGGCGGTCACCGGTAGCGGGAAAACTCTCTCCTATCTCCTCCCTCTCATTCAACGCCTATCCAGCGCTCCGCGCCGGAAACACAATATTGGTGGGATAGTCATTGTCCCGACGAGGGAATTAGCCGGGCAGATTTTCTCCGTCTTATCCTCTCTATTGCAGTTCCAGCCTCCCTCGGAGACTGGATTGAAAGCGCAGTTGTTGCGTGGTGGCGAAGGCAACACCCGAAGCGACTTGCAAGCCTTCCTGCGCGACGGCCCGAACATTCTGGTGTGCACGCCAGGCAGGTTGGAGGAGTTACTAGGGAGTCGATATGTAGTCGTTTCTGGCGAGACCTTTGAAATGCTTGTGCTGGATGAGGCAGACCGGTTGCTGGATTTGGGGTTCTTGGAGGTGCTTGCGCGGATCATGTCCCGTTTGCCGAAGCAGCGGAGGACCGGGCTTTTTAGTGCTAGTGTTACGGAGGCCGTGGTTGGGGGTTTGGTTAGGAGTGGGCTTAGGAATCCGGTCAAGGTCGTTGTGAAGGTTAAAGAGAGGGAGGTTGAGAGGAGGGTCCCTGTCAGGTACGCTTTATCTTTCCCTCTACTCTCTGCGAAAACGAAGCGCTAATGGTGCTGCAGCTTGGAGAACAACTACATAATAGCAACCCCTCCTTCCCGCTACCCACACATCCAACACATCCTCACTACCACCACCCCACAACCCCAAAAATCGATAATCTACCTCCAAACGTGCGCAAGCGTAGACCTACACATAATCCTCTTCCGCCTCTTCATCCCGAAAGAATACACCCTACTCCCCCTCCACGGCCATCAATCCCCTCCCCAGCGAAAGCGAAACTTTGCCGCTTTCATAACCTCCACAACCCCCACCATTCTCCTGACCACCGACCTCGCCGCGCGCGGGCTAGACATCCCAGAGGTAGACCTGGTCCTACAACTCGACCCACCCACTGACCCAAAAGTCTTCCTCCACCGCTGCGGGCGCGCCGCACGCGCTGGCCGTCGCGGTCGCGCCATCCTATTCCTATCACCGGGGCGCGAGGAGGAGTATATTTCCTTCCTGTCTATAAGAAAAACCCCCGTCACTCCCTTCCCCTCTCCCTCACCCTTAGAATTATCAAGCACAACGAAATCCATAATAGAGAAGTTTAGAAAGAAAACAGCGAGCGATAAAGCCCTCCACGATAAAGCGCTGAAAGCAACTGTTAGCCATGTCCGCGCTTATAGCAAGCACGCCACGGCCAGTATCTTTCGCGTACAAGAGCTGGACTGGAAAGGCCTTGCGGAGGCGTTTGGCATCCTGTGGATGCCAAGGATGCCAGAGCTTAAGGGGGTGAACGTGGAGTTGGGAGTGGAAGGGGTGGAGAAGGGCGCGGTCGGGTACACGGACAAGAAGCGCGAGGCTGCGAGGCTTGCGAAGATCGCCGAGGGGGGAAAGGTGCGGAAGGGGGAGAGGATGAATGAAGCTTGGAGTGAGAAAACGAGGGGGAAAGCTATGCGCGAAGTGCGCAGGGAGAAGCGCAAAAAGAAGAGGATCGCGGGGATGTCTGATGAGCGCAAAGCAAGGGAGGAGGAGTGGAGGGAGTTGGTGGAGGAAGTCAAGAAAGTGCAGGCAGAGCGGGGGCCAGAAAAGGCTGGGGATGTGGGGGGTTGGTTTGATGATATGGCTTGATTAATAGTTGACATTATATAGATATGAAAGTTTAATTGGCATGCTGGTAATATATTTGCAAAGCCCCATAGATGAAAAAAAGTGCGAGTGACAAGATATGATTAGTGACAGTTTATACTGATCGATCGCAACATGACTTAACCACACACCGCAACAACAGAGACAAGAGATGGACCGCCCCCCACCCATGCTAAGCATAACCATTTCGTTCAATCCATCAAGCCAAAGAGGGGGCGAAAAACAAAAAGAAAGGGAAAAAAAGTACAATAACAAAGCAAAATTCAATACCGTCTTGGTTGATCCGAAACCCAAACCCAAATCCAATCATGATATCGTGACCTTCTCAACAAACTAATTTCCAAACGACAGACAAAAGCTTCCTTCACCCATTCACTCCCAAAAAAAGAAAAGAAAAGAAACAAAAGAAAAACTAATAAAAAACCCCCGAACCCGTATGAAGATAATGTGAATCCGCATACCTCCCGCCCCCACTCATGCTCTTCCCCCCGTATCCCCCCCAGGTATCGCTACGGCCTCCCTCGCGCACCCTCTCCCTCTCGCGCTCGAGCTCCCTCCTGCGCGCGTGATCGCTCTTCCGTCTGCGCCTCTCCTCTTCGTCATCTTCCCTCATCCTCTCACCCTTGATAACCCACTCCTCAGCGCTGTCCGAGTCATCCGAGATCATATGTGAACGACGGCGGCCGCGACTGCTACCGCCGGAACGAGAGCGCGAAGGGGGCACGGGTGCGACGGGGCGGGAGGTGTAGCAGTATGCCGAGGCGGACTTGCGTAGGTGCGGTTCCCGGTAGAGTGGGGATGGGGAACGGCGGGTGTGGTGGCGGGAGGAGGAATGGTGATGCGGCGATGAGGTGGAGGAGTGGTGGTATGGGGAAGAATTGGAGTTGTGAAGGTCCGAGTACGAGGAGGAGCAGGATGATGTAGGGTCAACTGTCATTGGTGTGGAAGCGTAGCGGGCGGCTCGTCCATAAGGAAGAGTTGGTGAGAGTTCCTCTGGCTGCATGTGGATCGCTTCGGGGATTAGTGTTGCCGTGCCATTGGGATAGACCGGGACCACCGGTGTCACGAGGCCGTTCTGGCTCACGTATGATACCGGATATTCCCTCCCCCGCCGGCTGTGGTTGCGGGAGCCATGGTGGTGCTCCGTGTCTGAGTTGAAGGGCTCCACGTGGTGAGTGTGTGCATGGTGGCCATAGTGGTGTGTAGTGTACGAGTCCGCTGGAGAGATTATTGGCGGTACTCTGGCATACAATCCTTCATCCACCACTTCCTCCACTGTAGCCCTATGCCTGCTCCCACTCTTCCTGCTCTTTCGCTTCGACTTACTGGATGACGTATGTTGCTGGTGTGAGTTGCCGTGATGATAGCCATTCCAAACCGGTTCCTCCGGTGGTACAGCTCCAGGCACAGGCATAGCAGCGGCGGCGGCGGCGGCGGCGCTATCAGCCAGTGACTTCTTCTCAAACATATCATCGTGCCATTTCACCGTCTCCTCATCCGGCTTGGAAGGGAAAGCTCCATTCGGAATACTCTTGGGAAACAATTCACCCGTTTCAGGATTAGCCAACTGAAACTTCCTCACAGCCTCCTGTAGGTACGGGACGTGCTCCTCCGGATCCAACAACAACTGGATAGTCTGCCATATCGCGAACCCTCGAGGGGTGAGTGCAGGGATCGACGGTGGAACAAAGTCATCGTCGGGTATCGGTTGTAAAGTGTGACTGCAGCCTAGCGTTGTGTAAATGCCCGATAACTTCTCGGCTGGAGTTCCAAGAAAGAGCTCTGCGAACCCCCCATTGTTAGCCATCACAATACCTTAGGGCCCCGATCGTACGAGCGATAATATTACCGTCTAAGTCTCCACCGACTAATCGGTAGAATCCAGAGATCTTTTCGGGTGTAAGGCAATGAATGTCTCTCGGCTCCAAGCAATCGATCTACAATTCACACAAGCAAAAATGGTCAGTTTGCCGAACACAAGAGAACAGCAACACATGCGCAGCAGTCGAATTTTTCTCGACAACACAAAAGAATAATGGAATAATAGAATAAACCCACAATATAATTTGCAATGGAAAGTAGTAAATTCCGGAATAATGGTGTCGGTTGAGTGGGGTGATCTGACGATATTAGGTAGCCCCAGTACTGTCCAGGATCCACCGACGGTGGTTGCTGCTGCTGCTGCTGCTGTTGCGGCGGTGACATTTTAGGCCGAAATCTTCTCCTCTGTATCAGCTCCAGCTCTTCGAATTTTCTACGCTCGAACCAGGAGTTTAAGGGTTCTGGTGTGGATGCGATGGGTGTTAAGACGAAGTCGTCGAGATTTGTATCGGTTCGCAAAAATGGAAGCGAGGGCGGTGCGCGCTTGGAAGTGGTGCAGGCAAGGCGGAGGGGAGGCGAGGGGGCGGGGTGGTGGTGGTCTTTAAGGCGGGTACTTGTATGGGAAGGGTGATGATGATGATGATGCAACCCAGAAACAGGGACCTCCTCGTCCTCAGCAACGGACCCAAGGCAGGCGGTTGTGGAAAAGTTGTCCAAGCAAGGGGACGTTGGCTGACTGGAACTCGACGAGTGAGAGCGCGATTTCGAGCGAGTGGTATGAGTAGGCGATGAAGGGGTACGAGGGTGAGGATATGAGGATGAGTTCCTGTAGGGGTTTGAATAGGAAGCGAAGAAATTCGGAGGACCACCACCCCCGCCGCCATGGCTGTGATGATAACCAGGACCGTGACCGGAACCAGAAACAGGGCCAGGCAGGAATCGGCCATGGCCCTGTCCCAAGCGGGATGAACGAGAAGTGAGCATAGAAGATTATCCTCTTCCCGTTCCTCTTGCCCTTCACCTTCCTCCAACGCTTGATGTTGACCTGTAATGTTGATTGATCGAGTTCCTCTTCTTCCTCTTCCTCTTCCTCTCTCCCCCGGATCCGGATAATTTCCCCTTTTATCGTTGTGGACTCTTCTCGTTCGCTCCCTTAAAATGACGAGCTCGAACTGCTTGTTTCTCTTTCTGCCATTCACAGCCTCAAACTCGTATCGGAAGCTCTAATTTTCGCTGTTGCTGCTACTCCTGCTGCTCGGACTCGTTCCCATTGTAGGAGTCTCACAAAGGGGGAAAAAAAAAAAACATCAATTATTCCGGTCCGCCAGACGATTTCACACCGGCTAGGTACTTCCCATAGCTCTCTCCTAAAACGACTCGTTGGATACTGGACTACTAGTACATGATAGAGTAATCTCTCTTCCGTCTTCAAAGTGACCTGCCTTAACAGCCTACTGGTACCCACAACTACTGTATCAATTCCGAAAGAGTACATACACACATACTATACACATGAGGTAAGTTAAGACTTTCCAAAGAGTGAAATAAAAACTCCCGGACAAGATACAAAGGTAAATGTACTGTACGGGTACAGCGCAGTACTGTATACAACAACTCCCAGGACCAGCTCTTGTACACCTAGAAAGAGGTATTGTTAGAAAAGAGGGGCTGAGGTGTGACTGCAAAAAGCATCGACTGGATGGATGGAGAGGAACCTGACACGTCTTGTCCGATTGCCCACTCAAGCAGGTTTGCATCGAATCCATGCAAGGCCAGCCCGTTGAGCATTTCTCCCTACTTATGGAACGAGTCCCGTATGATTGAGCGCTCGTACACAATACCATCTTGCTCGCTTTCCTTCTTTCCTTTTCCTTCTCTCCTTTCCCTTTTCTTCTTCCCTGTGCTCGAGTACCGTACGCCGCCATTAGGAGGGGTTTTGCGAACTCTTTCTTTTCTTTTTTTCCGCTGCGCGAGCAAAAATTTGACAACCGCCGGTGGAACTCTTTTTCTTACTCGAGTGCAAGAATGGCGTAATACAAATTGAAAGGGGAGGGAGGAGGGGGAGGGAAGTCAAGAAAAGCACATATACTCCTTCTACAAATCATTAGTAACCGCAGTAAGTCAATGGACACAGCCAGCTAGATATGTGCTCGAGTACGAGTACAGTACCAGGAGAGTAGGTACTCGGGCCGCTTCTCTGGAGCTGACCTCGGCAGCCCGAATGCTCGGACAGTAGACTACGATGTACTACGACAGTGCACAAGTACATGCAGTATCATACAGCACGACACAGTAGCAAAAGCCACCGCCCGCTACACCGCCACCAGCTGAAGCCCCAGAGTAAGATACTTTTTTTAAATTTGCGAAAAGCTGCTTATGTATGATACACGTACCAGTACAATCATCATCACTTCCGCATAAGCTCCGCTCCGTCAAACGGCCTGTCAAATCCTTCTCCTCAGTCCCTTTTCACGCGAATGAAGGCGAAGGTCCCTCCGCGGTAAAAAAGAGTTAATTCTATCTACGTTATCACGGGCCTGCTGAGCGAGAGCTTTTCTCCGGATCCCCTCTGCCGCACGGTCACGGTGAGCCTGAAAAGGTGGCATAAGTTGACCTTATTCCGGGGGGCTGCTGGCCTTAAGGGGTTCGGGGTCAAAGCCTTTCCTCCCTTTCCCTCCCGCATTTCGCCGCAAATCATTCAGGCGGGGGGGGAGGCACCTGGCACTGTTGCACCCTGATCTGCATTGAGAGGTTTTTTTTTTTTTTTTCCTGTTTGTTTGCAGCTCTGGTCAGGAAGACCAAGTATCCGGAGAGCTACATGATATCGTAGTTTCCAGTAACTTTATGTGCCGGTACCTTTTGTGTATGATACGAGCACTTGGCCGGAACGAAAATCATCTCGTACGTTGGGCGGGCGGGTATCGACCGACATGGCCTGGCTTATGATATCATAATTTGGAACTTTCAGCTATTTTAACTGTAACTCAACTTCTTCCTTGCGCCTGGGCACACGACAGTGGTGTGGAAAGCGTGAGCACTGCAATGCACCCGCCGCGAATCCGTCATATGCCATGTGAAATTAAATGTATCAAAAGAGAAAAGAAACAGTACGGTCGTGCAAAAGGATGTCGCGCGTGAAACCCATGGACGCCCGCGACTACGCCACATCCACTGCGAATTTGTCATGAGTTACCGGTATCATATGTATATTATGAAATCGGATGTACGAGTACAAGTATCGGAAAAGAAAAGAAACAATGTCGTGCAAAACTATAAGCACAAAACCCGTAAACGCCGGCCTATCCCCAACACAATGCCCTTGCACCAGCGAAACATACCACCGATACGGGAATGCCCGGAATCGAAGGATAGACAGAGAAGAATGAAAGGAGTATCATAGTAAAAAATAAAAATAAAATAAGGCAACGAAGAGGGAAGAACAGAAAAGGAAAGAATGGTGCACCAGAGAGTGCAATGTGCCAGTACCGGTACTGTGGGTGGTGTTGGGATGGAGAATTCCTGGCGCTCATGTAGCCGCCCAACGGTTGAGCATATCACTGACGCTCCTCTCCTTCGACAATAACTCACCCTTCATCCTGACCTTCTCTAAAGCCTTCTGTAACGCATCTCGGGCCGTCCCATGGTCCCGTGCCCCCAATTCATGCGCGAAAAGGCCGGCGACTCGTCCGCAGAACCTCCGGCGGATGATATCCGTGATGGCGGCTGCGTCCGCCCAATCCTCTCTCTCGGCACAGACCATCCCGAGCTCTAACCCCATTTTCGCCGTCCTGTGGTACCAATTTTTGTTTTTGCTGCCCCAAAACTCGCTCCCGCCTTTATCTAGGCTGAGGAAATAACCGACAGCAGTGTCGGTCCTTCCTCCGAATCGTAGGTGGATCGCCGCTTCCATGAATGGCGACTTCGCCCAGAGTTTGGCGCTAGACACCAACTTTTCCAACAGTTGTTCCTTGTTCGACTCGCCATCTTTGACTTTCCGACAAAGCTGTAGTCCAACAGGTTGGAATTCTCCATATTGATACTTCTTGTTTCCAGAAGTGTGAAGCGATCTCTCGAACATTTCGACAGCCTTGTCAATCCCAGCCTTTACCTCCATAGCCAAAATTCCAAACTGCAAAATCTCAAACTTCCCCTTGTCGGGAATGTTGGCTGCGCTCAAAAGATCCATGATCTTTGTCTCTCTCCCTTCAACCACAAGCGTCTCGACGATTGGTCGTGTGATAGGTGAATTTGTGATTGCGCTCATCTTGGTCACTAGCCCACTCTTCTGAAGTCCTTCGAGAACCCTACCGAGTGCGTTCTCCCCATCCGCTCTCCATCCCTTCGCCCTTATTCCCTCAACGTACTTATTCAAACACAATCCAGCGAGTCCCAATGTAGCCCTGCCGGCCAAAACTTGCTGTTCAAAGACCCCAATGGGGTCTTCGTGGATCCTTTCGAGATCTTTGCTTCCGGCCAACGAGGTTGAGAATGGGAGTGTCACGAGGAGGTTCCCAACATGTGAATCAGTTGGTGGGGTGGGGACTGAGTTGAGTTGTTGACGAAACGAGTCTTTCACGAGTCCTAAAAGTCGGTTACGTTCGATGGGCGTTAAAGGAAGCTGGGGATGGAGGACATTGTGGAGTTTGAAGAAGGCGAGGGTTAAGCGTAGACGGGTTGAAGCAGAGGGCTGCATTTGTTGCGGATAGATGAGTAAGTTTGTGTGATTGGAGCGGTGTTGCGGTGCCGTGGTGACTCCTACTGTATGATACCTAGAAAATTTCCGCACTCTCCTCTTTTCTTCCCTTCAATACTCGTACACTAACCAGCCATGGCCAGGAGGGCAAAAAAAAAGGCTTCCTGCGGCTAATTCCTACCGGTTATGCAACCATTGGTCAACCATAGATCTGATCCATCCAGCGTCAAATCTAACAAGGATCCAAGCACTTCTGGAAAAACAACTCGCTTTCGAACGCTAGTTGAGCCTTATTAAATAGGGCAAGTATAGTATAATGTGGTATTTGTCCTATTTATACATAGGGCAAAGGATGATTAATTTTCTCTGGCAGGATGATTTGGAGGTTTAGAGGAGGTGAACTTACTCTGTGCTTTGGTGATAGTGTGAGGATAGTAGCATACCACAAGTTTAATGTTACTCCTGCCCTGTAGATCGTGGGCTTCAGTTGTGTCTCCAGAGTGATATAACGTGGAGTCGGGGTTTCAGACTGGGGTATAATGTTAGGCGGAGACAACTTGATAGACTTCAAGATTGTCTAAGCCAATTGAGATTCGTTTTTGTAGGCAGAGATTGTCTAGGAAGGCTCGGACTTGGCTCGTTTCGTTTATGACTACTAGGAGGGAAGTAAAGTAGGTAAAGTAGGATAGAATCGTAAAAACAATATTATATTGTTAAGGTCTCTTCTCTGTTGCTTGATGATGTCTAAAGCTTGGGAGGCACTTCGATATTTATATTCTGTGTCTGAGTGTTCGCGGACTACATCTATTTATCATACAACTATGTACTTCTTCAATCGTAATTCACAACGTAGAGTTTTCTTCCAAGGTGCGAACACCTGTGGACCCTGAAAACCATCACACCCTCTTTGGTAATTACGATATTTCTTCTTAGGAAACGTACTGTCTCCAATAGTAATATACCGATTAGCAGAGTCTTTAGACTTATGGCCTAGTTCTTAAGTTGAACTGAGTTGGCTCCAATTGTCTTTGCCATTGATAAAATGATCAGTTTTATCCCCGGCTATATCTGCAAAGGTGGTTGTTATTACAACCATCGTAGGTCACCTGACTCCGATCCTTTGTAACTCCATACCCAACTGATAGATTTTCTCTGGATGACTTTCTATTAACTCGCAGGAAGCTATTCCACCAGATTGGTAATTAATCCCTCAGTCAGCAACTATTGGTTGCTCGCTGGGTAGTAGGTTTCAGTAACTATCGTAGTATTGGGAATCACTCCATGACTATGACGTGTTCCGAAATCCAGTTGCAACACTCCGTGAAGTTCATTGGCTTCTTTGGTAGTGTCTTTTTGGAGTTCTAGACTCTTCTGGTAGATGTAAATGTATTGGTCTCTTGTAGAGATTCTTTACCATTTGATACCATCTCTTTGTACGAAATCGTCCTGTTACTTACGGCCTGTGCCAAAGGTATCATGTATTTGGAGCCAAGTAACTCTCTGAGTAGTTGACGGAATCACTCCGTTCCACTTCCCAGACCTAGCCGAGCGTCTCCTCTCATGTATTCTGCGAACAGGATCCGGTCGGACAGACAGCGGTGACGTATACGGTATTATTCTGACACCTTCAATTCTGTGGTAATATAGTCACAGGACGCAACTGAGATTGATATATATGATGATGCGTGGGCCCCGTAAGGGAGCCGGAGGGGGGTGTTGGAGACCAGAGATTCCAATTCCAAGTGGGGTTATCCTACTTAGGGTGGTTCCTAGGTATTGGGTTCTGGTATTCCTAACATATAACTTGTTTTTGGAGATGTCTGGTTGAGTGCTTTTAGGATAAAAATATTTTTAGATGCAGGGTAGCTGACCAGGTAATGAATCCCTGAGGGTATATTATATTATAGCTGTGAAACTATCATACTGATTAACAAGCAGCAGGGAAGGAAATGCATTAATGAGTAACTTGGAATGATTTTGCTCATCTAAGCACTGGCCACCTTCTATTTCTTGCCATGGAAAGCCAATTCTTTGATAAGCAGTATGATACTATAAAAGAGAGCATTCGCCAAGGTCTGTTGAGTCCCAAGGCTGCTATTTTCGACTTATTTTCCTACGAGCTGCAGGTCAACCCCCACGTATACGAAAACTCATTGCTTGGGGGGAGAACAAATAGTAAAAGGTTCAACTGCAGTAAGACCAAACCCAAGAGATGTTTAAATCCTTTTCCATTAAGAAGCCCAACAAGGCTCATATTTAGAGGGGGAGAGAGCAGACTACGAAGAACAATGTCTAGTAAGTGTGGGAGACCCAATTGAATAGGATTGACAGATATCAAAAATTGTCAAGTGGAGGGGGGTATCAAAGGTATTAAAGGAGGAGCCTGAACTATTGGTATATATCACAGAGGCAAGGCTTACACAATCTTTAGTTATCAAACAGTTCTTCTCCATCTGCAACAGCACTCTAGTCAGAAGGCCACGTATCAGAAAGGCTAGATGTATGAGGGGGGGGAAAGAAGTAGTACGACACAGTAGCAACCGCTTTCCACAAGATCGCAACTCTACTCCCAACCCCCATCACTACAATACTCACTATATTCCCCACCACCTGCCAAACCATTTCAGAAAAGCACTATGAGGGTAAAGGGAACCCGCAGAAGTGAGTGTAAGTAGTTTAATTAAATGAATATGTACATAAAGTTGAAATAATAATAAAATTAAATGATTTAGCGATTAGTCTACGAAATCTTGAGCGGTGGAGATCTTTGACGAAGAAGCGACAGCGCTTTGAGCGGGAAGCCACGCGTGATAATCAGATTCGTATTATTGCTCTCCGAGAAATAGTGGAGTGGTCTTTCAGAAAGATAGTTGCTGAATTGGAGGAAAAAATAGGCCTTAAAGTTCACCATAGTACCTGTGCTTGCATCTATCAATGGTATTGGGAAACAGGTAGTCCTTCCAACTACCAGTGAACAGGAAGACCTCCAATCTTCTAGGAGTCTGATCTACTTGATCTAAAGTCTTTTATTAAAGAAATTAAAAGAAATAGAAAACTCTCTTGGGAGGATATTAAAGAAGAGAAGGGATTAAAGGCATCATCCAAGACAATTAGGAAGGCAGCTAAGAGTGTTAATTTAAATAAAAGAAAACCACGCAAGAAGTAAGTACTTTAAGGAAGATTCAAGTGCTTACATAACTAAAAGATATTTTAGATGGGGATTGCACCCTAAAAATATACCAATTAGATTTGGTTAATGTATGAGAAAAAGAGCTTGGAAACTAAGAGACTGGTCCAGAATCATATGGACTGATAAAACCTCATTCTCTATAGCTGGATTTGGGCAGAAAGGATGGGTGATAAGAGAACCTTCTGAGGAATATGATCAGGATTGCATTGATGAGGTCTGGGAGTCAGGAAGGGAGACAGTTATGGTATGGGGAGCCTTTTGTGGGGATTTGAGGTCAAAGCTAGTGGTAGTACCAGGAAAGGTTAAAGTGGATTCTTATAAGTATACTAAGTATATTCTGGATCCAGTTTTAATTCCTTTCTGGCATAAGTGTTGTGAGAGATTTGGTTGGACTAGGGTTGTTGAAGATGGTACACCAGGGTATAAAGGGTAGATTCTACCTCCTTATAATTATTGTATTTTCTGTTTTTTGATATAGAAATACTTACTTAAGAATATAATCTAACTACAGGTTTAATCAGAGATATTCTACAAAGTGTAGAAAAAGGAATGGGGTGGATATATTGTCCTGGCCACCACAGTCACCGGATCTGAACTTAATTGAAAATATTTGGGGAGATACGGAAATTTACTTGGGGAAAAGGTATGAAAGAGTTGCAAGCAAGGAAGAGCTAATCAGAGCTGTGGAGGAAGTATGGAAAGCTATTCCTGATGGAAGGTTTATGGATCTTTGCAGAAGTATGCCAAAGCGGGTCAGAGAGGTTATTAGAAGAAAAGGGCACCAAACTCATTATTGATTTATGATTTTCTTTTTATTTTACTTTAAGGAAATACTAAGCATTTTTTAATTTTATCTCCTTTACTTATTTTATTTATTGAATGTGGTTGTGGAAAATGGTAGTACTTTATGTTGATATTGTTTCCATACAGGAATTTGTGTTGCATGGGTGTCGCATTACTTTCTTCCCCCCTCTTATACATGTGGCATATCATGATACTCACATATTGATATAGCACCTAATGTAATCTGTTGATACAGTGAGTTCGGGAGAGATTTTTCTTAGGGCACATCCTCCAGAACTTAATATCCATGATGGGGGAGAGGAGTCCCTTAAGGGTATCACTTCAACAACTTGTGGTATGATACCAATCCTACCAATCCTACCACTGAACCCACCCTGAAAGAAACCACATTACACCCACTGATCTGTCCACTAAGCACAGTGTAGCGGAACACCCACTATCACCTCTGCAAAATATCCTCCCCGATCAAATGATCGATGATGACTATGCAGCCTTATCGTATCTTCCTTCTTTCCTTTCTGTGCGTATCAGGCTTTTCACATCTTGTACCGCTCATTTACCTTAGGCCACTACTCATCAGTACGTGTAGGGGCCATGCCTTTTATGGGGAGGCAACATGGGTACGGATTTAGCTTCTATTTCCACAAACAAAGGTATCATACAAGGGGTGTTTGATGATTGTGCAACTGGATTTTTGTTACCATAAACTTTTATTTTATTTTTTATCAGTTACCTGTGGTGTTCCAGGCTCTTCAATAATATTATAGAATAAATACAAATTTTCTCAACTGGTGGGGTCTTGTTGAGTGCCTTAAGATTGTGCGTATTGCTTCTAAATGCCATGGCGGGGCTAAATGCATTCTTTATAATAAGCGAGATGTCTCGTTCCCTATATCTTGAGGTGGTGGTATGTTGTCCACAGAGGCTAAGGCTATCACACCAACCTGATGGGTCTGTGGAGATAATTTTCATAATAATTATTATTATTACAACATATAGCTATGCT